CTGACTCAGCATTCACACAGTTATTAGTTTTAGTATTTTATATTTATAAACGCTCAGGACTACGGATGAAATTTAGCTGTTGTGCTAATTCCAGCGCATTTATATTCATGTGTGTTGTCCTTTTAAATAAATTTAAATTTAAATGCATAAAAATATATATTTTGTGTTTTTAAGGGAGCAGAAATGAACCAATTAGTGTTCTAAAAGCTGTTTATTTGTGCAGAAGTTAAAATAAATAAATGTCAGGACAGAGTTAACCCTCTGTCCTTCACGATGAGCTGCAGGAAAAGGTTTTTGTTGTTAATCTGTAGAACATGGCTTCATGGCTTAAAATAAAAACATCTTTGGCTGCTTGTTTTCAGCTGTGGACGACTTTAGCTGTTTTATTTAAAAGTGAACATTTTATTTAAAGTGTATTTAGTGATGCAGAGCTTGAGGACCTGGCAGAGTTTGGTCCAGGAAGTGATGCTGATAAGGAGCTCGTTAGAACAACCTTCAGGCTTGTTTCAGCAGGACAGTGTCCTCATGTCCTTTACCTGCTCTGTCCTCTGTTCCACATGAGCCGAAGAACCTGTCTGTCTCCACCGTCGGCCAGCAGAACTGCAGCAGCTGATAGATTAAAGTTCATACAGAATTTCAAAATAAAAGCCTGCAGATGAACGGTTTTATTTAAAGATAAGTAGCTTCAGCTCTTTATAATCCAACTGTTTCTGCAGAACCTGTGCTACTTTAGCTGTTCAAATATCAAAATGTTCAGCTCATCTAGGAGATGGCTGTTCTGATTTTAGCTTTAAAACTTTGGTCATTTTTGATATWTATAACTTTATTTACAAATATTACTATATAAATACTATATGTTACTCAAAGAAACACTGGGATTTTATAACTTTATAACTTCCTTCAAAAACTTTGTTCTATGAAGCTACTGGCTTCGTTTTGTCTTTTTATGCTACTTTAGCTTAGCTGCTCTGTTGATACTTTAGCTTTTAGCTGCTCTGTTGATACTTTAGCTTTTAGCTGCTCTGTTGCTACTTTAGCTTTTAGCTGCTCTGTTGATACTTTGGCTTTTAGCAGCCCTGTTGCTTCTGTAACTTTTAGCTGCCCTGTTGCTACTTTAGCTTTTAGCTGCTCTGTTGATACTTTGGCTTTTAGCTGCTCTGTTGATACTTTGGCTTTTAGCTGCTCTGTTGATACTTTGGCTTTTAGCTGCTCTGTTGATACTTTAGCT